TTGTGGTATTGCCATCCCAAAACCTGCTGTATCTAAGTAATTGAATTCAAATGTATCAGTGAATAAACAGCCTATCTAGCTATTGAGCTCAAGCCTAGATACTGGATATAAATTATTATGGTTGTGTTCCCTATAGTGCACTACTTTTGACCAGAGCCCTATGGGCCCTGGTCAAAAGTAGGGAAACTGAATACGGAATAGGGTGCCATTTTAGGACGCAGTCCTGCATTATACAGTATGATAGTGTATGCCTTTCATTACCATATGGATGATTTCAGGAGAGGATTCTCTATGCTCTGTATACAGTATTCCCTCTATAAGAAATTGTATATAAAGTTTTCTGTCTATTCTCTACCAGGAACTGTATATATCCCATGGGGAGCTTCCAATGACCACAGATGTTATGCTTTGATGAGGGTTAATTGGCACCTTCGATTGGCTAAAGAGAGAGCGCATGCTTAACCCTTATCCTATATCCTTATATAGGTATTTTAGGACATTCAGCATGCTCTGCAGTTTTCCTCAAGCATCCTGCTTTGCGTCCTCTTTCAGCAATGGGATAGGCACCATGTTTACAGTAGGTCATACAGGATATGTCTCAACTGGCACCCTTTTCCCTACATAGCGCAATACCTTTGACCAGGGCCTCTGGTTAAAAATGTTTCACTGTAAAGGAAATAGGGTGCCATTTGGTAAACAGCTCCGTTTTTGCATAGAAATCACACCCAGTTCAATAAAAAGATAGACTGGTCCCAGATCTGTTTGTGCTGTCTCCCCAACTTGACAATGACCATAGGAGTTGACCAGGCTAGGACAGTTTTCAAAGGTCATTATTCAATATGTAGGTCATTGTTGTCTTGGTAAAGGAAATATGTTTCAACATCTGTAACTTTATTAATAGTGATGTAGAACTAATTATGTTGTACTTCTAATTGAATTAAAGGTGGATTCATTTAGTTTGCGTCCCAAATGTCACCCTTTTCCCTACATAGTGCAATACTTTTGACCAGAGCCATATGTGCCATGGTTAAAAGTAGTGCACTATATAGGAAATATGTTGCCATTTGGGGCAAACCTTAGTCAAAGTGTACCTCATGAGCCTGGGAAGATATCCTTTCATTCCAGCCATGTTTCATCTTTTAGCACTAGCCAACACTTTGAACGTAATTCTTTGATGTCAACACCCATGTTAAGATCTAGAACCAACATCCAATCCTAAAACTAGCCGACCAAATTCCATAAGAGAAATTAGACTTATTTTACACAGAATACAATAACACCTCTCTCTCATTAAACTTTTACAGGCACTAAATTGGTCTCCGTGCAATAATCTCGGTAAGTGCTGACATTACGCAAATCCATTAGGCTTCTTGGCCCTGTGGTATTTCGCCGGGTAGCAGAGAGGTTAACGCGCACTCTGCAGTTATCTTAACAGTGTTCTGAACTCCGTGGCTCTAAATGGCACACTATTCCCTATCTAGTGCACTAGCTTCGACCCAGGGCCTGGTCAAAAGTAGTGCACTATATGGTGCTATTTGGGACGGATACCTATGTGTGATCAGATCTGTTTTAATAGACTTCAAGGAGTTTACTTGAAGACATCTCCGAGAGACGAAACGTTTCGAGGCCCTAGAATTAGAGCAGCTAGAGGCACGTCACTGAGGTGAAAAACGATTTGTTCCAGAGGTGAAAACGATTTGTTCCAGAGAATGTCAAAGCCTTGCTGGCTGGCGCGAGCAGTAGCGCATTAGGCTATTATCATAACTTTAAAAGTGGACGGGGAGTGCTCCTCTCTCCATATGCAGTTATGGCAACGATTTTGAAGATCCATACCTACTCTCCAAATCGGTGTCATTTGGGAGCTAGGAGAGAACACAACTGAGATAGCAAACCATGTGTGCATTAGTTGAAATTCAGTTCAATTTGCCTACCTATAAGTCCCCCCCCCCCCATGCATTTGGCTTTAGCGAGTTTAGGTAGGCTATACCATTACCACTTGTCATCATATTGCAATAAGTAGCCTAGACTATCGTTTTCAATACACTTGTGCAATTATATAGATTAAATGTGAAATTAGTTACGCAGGAAATATGATGTAATGATCTTCCATAGCGTTTATATGGTTTCAGTGCTAAAATCAGCACTGGCGCTGTCGGTGTCCCTGAAATCACCCCTGTAAGCGCGACTATACAGGGGTGCTTTCAGGACCAGGGACAGCGCTGCCGCTATGAAAGCATACACCTGCTCCTTCCATGACATAGACTGACCAGGTGAAACTCAATATTAGGAATGTGTTCTTAATGTTTTGTACACTGTGTTTATCGACTTTTTGATATCATAGAACGAAAACTCATGCACATAACAGTCCACTCGATTTAAACAACTTTCCCCATAGGGACACACATCGCCTCTATGGACCCAGCATCAGATAGTGAAAATAAGACGCCTTTTTTATTGCTTGAAATGTCAACGTCTGTGTGAACAGGTTGGCTCAACCACTGAACACTTCGGGGTATTATCGATTTTCCCCGTATACCTGAAAGGCCAACCCTTTAGATAGCCTAGTGTTTTGTAGTTTAGGCTCGCAGCACAGTGACACCACCACCACAGCGGTCACGTTTGCTATTAGACAACGATGGAAGTGAATGAGTGAAAACAGTTCAGTGCTGAGCAGCAGCAGCGTGTAGGAAGCAATTACCAGCAAGGACTCTTCCTGAGTTGCATTTATAAAAGAAAACAGCATCCAGGCCTACCTTTCTGTCGCCCACATGTGCTCAGTGGGGCCACGACATTAGAACTGATCGAGTTTGAAGTAGCAGCAGCTACACTATATATACAAAAGTATGTGGACACCCCTTCAAATTAGTGGATTCGGCTATTTCAGTCACACCCGTTGCTGACAGGTGTATACAATTGAGCACACAGCCATGCAATCACCATAGACAAACATTGGCAGTAGAATGGCCTTACTGAAGAGCTCAGTGACTTTCAACGTGGCACAGTCATAGGATGCCACCTTTCCAACAAGTCAGTTCGTCACATTTCTGCCCTGCTTGAGCTTCCCCGGTCAACTGTAAGTGCTGTTATTGTGAAGTGGAAACATCTAGGACCAACAACGGCTCACACGCGAAGTGGTGGATCACACAAGCTCACAGAATGGGACCGCCGAGTGCTGAAGCGCATAGTGCGTAAAAATCATCTGTCCTCGGTTGCAACACTCACAACCGAGTTCCAAACTCCCTCTGGAAGCAACGTCAGCCCAATAACTGTTAGTTGGGAGCTTCATGAAATGGGTTTCCATGGCTGAGCAGCTGCACACAAGCGTAAGATCACCATGCTCAATGCCAAGCATCGGCTGGAGTGGTGTAAAGCTTGCCGCCATTGGACTCTGGAGCAGTGGAAACACGTTCTCTGGAGTGATGAATCACGCTTCACCATCTGGCAGTCCAACGGACGAATCTGGGTTTGGCGGATGCCAGGAGAACGCTACCTGCCCCAATGCAGAGTGCCAACTGTAAAGTTTGGTGGAGAAGGAATAATGGTCTGGGGCTCTTTTTCATGGTTCCGGCTAGGCCCCTAAGTTCCAGTGAAGGGAATTCCTAACGCTACAGCATACAATGACATTCTAGATGATTCTGTGCTTCCAACTTTGTGGCAACAGTTTGGGGAAGGCCCTTTCCCGTTTCAGCATGACAATGCCCCCGTGCACAAAGCGAGGTCCATACAGAAATGGTTTGTCAAGATCGGTGTGGAAGAACTTGACTGGTCTGCACAGAGCCCTGACCTCAACCCCGCACAGAGCCCTGACCTCAAACCCATCAAGCACCTTTGGGATGAATTGGAACGCCGACTGCGAGCCAGGCCTAATCGCCCAACATCAGTGCCCTACCTCACTAATGCGCTTGTGGCTGAATGGAAGCAAGTCCCCGCAGGAACATTCCAATATCTAGTGGAAAGCCTTCCCAGAAGAGTGGAGGCTGTTATAGCAGCAAAGGGGTGGACCAAGTCCATATTAATGCCCATGATTTTGGAATGAGATGTTCGACGAGCAGGTGTCCACATACTATTGGTCATGTAGTGTACAACAAAAATCTCAAATGTTTCAAGGATTAGGCCTATTGCCCCTCTGTTATAAGGTGATCCAATGCCTCTCTTTTGAGTTTAAGGTCTGTCATCTTTTGATGTGAGCAAGTGCATCCCAAAAGGCACCCTATTCCCCATGGGCCCTGGTCAAAAGCAGTGCACTAAAAAGGAAACAGGGTGTCTACAGCTGTTACTTTTTTATGTTATACAAGCCCATGGTCAAACTTTCAGAACCAGTTCAATATTGGTGGGTGCAATAACTTCAGCTGTCACAATGGAAAGTTCTAATTAGGGGGTGGGGTGGGGGGGATTGCTTCTTCCTTGGCTACATCACACTTAACTTGAGTTCTATAATCTCTCTTCTATGAATCATACAGACACGTGAAATTGATTCGTCTCGCATAGTAGCCTAAACATAACGTCTTATGCCATAAAGCTTTCCTAATCTTAATTTGTTTAATTGATGAGAAATTAAGTTATTAAGTGTGTTGGTGTGTTGGTTGGTGGCAGAAGACATTAGACATCTCCACACGGCATCGAATGACTGTCTACAAGCTACCATGTTTTCTAGTCGACCGAGTTAAATGCAAGAACACTTGCCACTGCCATGATATATTGTTATCATGATTTGATAAATCAAGCGTTTATTCTCATACATAACATAAACATACCCGATGGTATATCAATGGCGGTGTCTCTCTTTCTCGCAGATCCAAGAGAATTGTTGCAACGTCAGAATCGTAACTCTCCTTTTTTTGGGGAAGCCCGTCACATCCTCTGTCCATGTATGGGCATGAAGTTTACACGCAGCGGGGAATCCTCTCACTGGAGCCGATGAATGGGGGGGAGGGCTCTAGCGACCCGCCGGAGTGTATATAAGGAGAGGCAAGGGAAGCCACTGGTGTGAAACCTACCCACAGCAACAGATAGCCGAAGAGCTACAAAGCGATACAGAACGCAGTCATCTGGACAAAAAGGAAATTTCGAATTATTTATTGACACCTTTTTTCCTCAAACGACCACCTGCACATTTTCAAGGATAATTGACGACCCCGTGCATCAGAGGGGAAAGGACACATCATTTGCATTTGCTTTGTTGTTTTTTAATCTACCTACACTTACCTGGATTGACAGACTTGAAATCAATCTCACAATCATGCTAAACAACATGGATTTGAACTCTAAAGATTCCTTCTACCCTCAGTTTGAGAATTGTAACGGTTCTTCCCTGGGGATTGAAAATAGCTCTCGGAAAGATACCCAGGAGGTGTTTTCGGACGCAGAGAGAGGAGCACCTGCCCATTTTACCCATGGTAAGTTCGCAGTAGCCTGTTGCTGCATTGCATAATATGATAAATAAATATGCATGCATTGATAGTCTGAATAAGATTGTTTGTGGTTGCACATTGTGATTTATTAAAAACATCGCATGGATTTAATTTGGCCCATTTGCAGCCGTGCATGTTACGCATGTATGTTTATTGATTACATAACGACTTTAATTTATGTGCATTTATCAGTCTACAATAAACATTTGTAATGACAAACTTTCCCTCTTTCTTTTTCAGAGGGAGCACCTGTAACCCTGAAAACCGAGGCTTCTAACTCAGATTTCGCCTTTAATCCCTGCGAGGGGCCCAAAGGCACCTACTCCTCCTCCCTCGCCTACTCAGGCAGCTTCTATGTCGAGGCGACTCAGGGGGGCCCGTGCAGCACGGAGACATTGCTCAACATGATCACAGAAATTGTCGGTATTTCTACGTTACCGATCTCCGAAGTTCAACTGAGCACCATGGACAGCAGCAGCTTCGGCGACGCGGGCGTCCAGAGGCAATCCTCCACCTGCAGCGCCACCCCGCCCCTGTACTCGCAGGGGCAGACATGCCCCAGCTACCCTGACGGTCAGTCCGGCGGTCAAGCTCAAGATTCAGCCTCTCCCCAGGTGAGCTTCGGCTCCCCTGCTCAAGTCCGAAACCAGAACAGCACCACCGAGCCGCAGTCAGAAGCTGCGTCTTTTCCAGTGGTGGTCAAGAATGAGTTCGAAAGCAGCTGTTACGAATGGGGTACGTTCAATAAATCGGACGCCTATTTGGGAACGGGCTTCCAATCATCAGAAACGTTCCCGATGTCCAGTGACTTCCCGTCTGACCAACAAGTGGATGTAAAGGAACTTTTGGACTCATTTTCCCCAATGTGTCCTAACCCAGAGATGGAGTTCAAAGTTGAAGGCGGAATCAAGCAGGAGCAGTGCTATTCTGACACCTGCTCTCAGAGTTTCTGCAGTTCTCTTTACTCCAACTACCCAGTGCCAGTCATGGACCTCTCAACCAACAACCTCCTCAAGCCAGCTATGTTTCCCAACATTGAACTTCCGCCATTATCTAATCAGTGCGATTCGACTTGCCAGCTTACCTCACCAGCTTTACCCAGTACTATAGACTCAATTCTTTACTCCTCCTTATTGCCAGACTCCTTTGCCCAAAGTTACACGCCGCGCGCGCAAAAGGCACCGCGTGTCAGGAAAAGCCCCGCCGCCTCCACCGGGCCTGCCAAAGAGAAACCCTTCACCTGCCCCATGGAGAACTGCGACCGGCGCTTCTCCCGCTCGGATGAACTCAACAGGCACATCCGCATCCACACCGGACACAAACCCTTTCAGTGCCGCATCTGTCTGCGCAGTTTCAGCCGTAGCGACCACCTCACCACCCATACCCGGACTCACACCGGAGAGAAGCCGTTCTCCTGCGACGTATGCGGAAAAAGGTTCGCCCGGAGCGACGAGAGGAAAAGGCACGGTCGCGTGCACCTGAAACAGAAAGAGAAGATGGAGCTGAAGCCACAAGTGACCAGCGCGTGGCCATTTACTCTTCCCGAGGGAATTTGAAGAGACACCACTACGCACACGAGTAGCTCTGTCCACACAACATTGCAATCTTTCCGTCGAAGATAAAAAGCTTAACAGTTCATTGCTGATTACAGGTCGACGTATCAACGTTTGCGGTGTGACATATAGGTCGAGTGAAATTGGTTTGACTGTGAAAGTCTCTATAGGGAGTCTTAGAATAAGGATGTTTTGCGAGTTTGAATTGCATAATGCTATATCGGAGAGCGAATTGTGAAAAGGGTCTGCTCTTTCGACCCTCGTTTACTTGCTGCTGCTGACTCTATGCAACACATGCATAACTTGATTGTAAAACCTTCCGAGTTGACAGCTCAACAGACCCTTGTTGTATTTCTCTGTTACAATCAACCAATTTGGTCATTTTAAACCAAACACCAAGGCATCGTAACAAATGCCTGCAGCAGTTCAGCACCCTTTCGTCTGGACAGCTCCAACTTCAAACCTCGAAGAAATATACCAATAAGACAATCGAAATTGCTGGGCTGTATTGCACTTATATCTAATTTGAGATATCCTCTATCAACTAGAAAGTCTTATATTTTATGCTTTCGAGGCTTTTTATACCACTAACACTGCAACCAGTCAGACAGTGGTTCTTCAAATGCATGTTTATGTTCATGTGGTATTATTGAATATAGCCAACAAATAACTTAGTCCTCCACTTGCCGAATGGAAGTGAGAGAGACTTCGTTTTATGACATGAATGTAACACATTATTCTTGGCTTTGGTCACAAAGCAGTCCATTTGTGCCAAGGTTTTGATAATGTATTTAGCTTTGCTGTCAGTATTCTATTGATTGGTCTTTGTGTTGTATTTAAACAAAATGGTTGAATTATTAAATCGTGAAAGTTATACCATAAATGGAAAATAAATATATTTGTATGACTGTACTTTGTATTTTTATAGCTGTGTATATACTTATTTCAAAAGACCACTGTTAACCTTGAATTGTTAAAGTGGAAAAGGCTTTTTTTAAACATACTCACAATGTTGTACATGTGCTTTTGGAGGGCTGGTAGCAAAATAGTGTTTTAGAGAGATTGTCATTTGATATCAAATATATTTCTAAGACAAGTAAAAGATGACCTAACTGTTCGTATAATAATGACTCGAAATATCATTTGATTACACTGCTAATCAGTTCGTGATGAGGACTATAGTGTTAAACTAGTAAGTCATTATACATGGCTCTTGTACAGTACGATGTACTGTATTGTACTGTCAAGCCAGAATTGACTAGCAGCACAACACAACAACATTGCTGTTGAGTAATCAGGTAGCACACATTGCTGCGAGTTTATGTACTTTTCAGATGAGATAATTTAAGACTTGACAAGGCATTACTGATGAGGAAGCTATTCACTTGAGCAAAAAACAATGCTTATGGCTTGGCGAGAATGTCACCAATCAGTCAGGGTACTGTAAAAAAGTGTTTTAACTCGCCTTAAGTTATATTAACTGCTTGGGTATATGATTAATTTTGTATATATGCACAGTTTATACGAAAATACTTTCGATAAATTGAATATTGATGTTGTTATTTTTATGACAAATGTTTATGAATAAAATGTTTGGTTTTCTGGAAACATTGCAAGAGTCATTTGTCCATGCATAGAAATTCCTCAGTCCTTCCTCCGTATGCTGACAACTTCCTTTATGTAAGTAACACAGTTTCTTCTACTAAAGCAGTCATATGGATGACTACTGCGGCTGTTCCTAAAAATACACGTTCTAACGGGCAACCTAGCGCCAGCAGATAGTGGAATCCTAGCATTAGACATCACAGTTCTATGTAATGGTGACTCACAAGGCTTTGGACTCCAACACATTAAAGTGAATACCCTATTACTCTGTGTTGTGATTCTGGTCCCTCTGACATCAAAAGGATCAAGGGTTTATAGCTACCAAATGTGGAGATTCGATATTCACCTTAGGTTAGGGATGACACTCCATTATAATTGCTATTTATTTGGTATAACCTCAGGTGCAGATGTCTCAGTCTAAACATACCTTCATCAGAAAGAGACCTTAACAATACTTCCTCTTTCCATGGAGGCTATGGCCTGTTGTATGTTGTTAGCCTCAAAGGGCCCCATAGACATACTGTATGTCTCTATGGTTAGCTCCTCCCCCATCTAACCTTTTATTAATTCTCACAATGCCGATTGATAAGAGATCAGTGATGTTTGTTCCTCTCTCTTTCTCTCGATTTGGCTCTTTGTGACCCAGTAGCATTGCAATCTTTTCCTTTTGACCTCCTCCTTTTCATACTGGCTGTGTCGAGAGAATGTTACCTATTGACAGTTGTTGCTCTGACTTGCTCAGCATTTACAGTGGGGAGAACAAGTATTTGATACACTGCCGATTTTGCAGGTTTTCCTACTTACAAAGCATGTAGAGGTCTGTAATTTTTATCATAGGTACACTTCAACTGTGAGAGACGGAATCTAAAACAAAAATCCAGAAAATCACATTATATGATTTTTAAGTAATTAATTTGCATTTTATTGCATGACATAAGTATTTGATACATCAGAAAAGCAGAACTTAATATTTGGTACATAAACCTTTGTTTGCAATTACAGAGATCATACGTTTCCTGTAGGTCTTGACCAGGTTTGCACACACTGCAGCAGGGATTTTGGCCCACTCCTCCATACAGACCTTCTCCAGATCCTTCAGGTTTCGGGGCTGTCGCTGGGCAATACGGACTTTCAGCTCCCTCCAAAGATTTTCTATTGGGTTCAGGTCTGGAGACTGGCTAGGCCACTCCAGGACCTTGAGATGCTTCTTACGGAGCCACTCCTTAGTTGCCCTGGCTGTGTGTTTCGGGTTGTTGTCATGCTGGAAGACCCAGCCACGACCCATCTTCAATGCTCTTACTGAGGGAAGGAGGTTGTTGGCCAAGATCTCGCGATACATGACCCCATCCATCCTCCCCTCAATACGGTGCAGTCGTCCTGTCCCCTTTGCAGAAAAGCATCCGCAAAGAATGATGTTTCCATCTCCATGCTTCACGGTTGGGATGGTGTTCTTGGGGTTGTACTCATCCTTCTTCTTCCTCCAAACACGGCGAGTGGAGTTTAGACCAAAAAGCTCTATTTTTGTCTTATCAGACCACATGACCTTCTCCCATTCCTCCTCTGGATCATCCAGATGGTCATTGGCAAACTTCAGACAGGCCTGGACATGCGCTGGCTTGAGCAGGGGGACCTTGCGTGCGCTGCAGGGTTTTAATCCATGACGGCGTAGTGTGTTACTAATGGTTTTCTTTGAGACTGTGGTCCCAGCTCTCTTCAGGTCATTGACCAGGTCCTGCCGTGTAGTTCTGGGCTGATCCCTCACCTTCCTCATGATCATTGATGCCCCACAAGGTGAGTTCTTGCATGGAGCCCCAGACCGAGGGTGATTGACCGTCATCTTGAACTTCTTCAATTTTCTAATAATTGCGCCAACAGTTGTTGCCTTCTCACCAAGCTGCTTGCCTATTGTCCTGTAGCCCATCCCAGCCCTGTGCAGGTCTACAATTTTATCCCTGATGTCCTTACACAGCTCTCTGGTCTTGGCCATTGTGGAGAGGTTGGAGTCTGTTTGATTGAGTGTGTGGACAGGTGTCTTTTATACAGGTAACAAGTTCAAACAGGTGCAGTTAATACAGGTAATGAGTGGAGAACAGGAGGGCTTCTTAAAGAAAAACGAACAGGTCTGTGAGAGCCGGAATTCTTACTGGTTGGTAGGTGATCAAATACGTATGTCATGCAATAAAATGCAAATTAATTACTTAAAAATCATACAATGTGATTTTCTGGATTTTTGTTTTAGATTCCGTCTCTCACAGTTGAAGTGTACCTATGATAAAAATTACAGACCTCTACATGCTTTGTAAGTAGGAAAACCTGCAAAATCAGCAGTGTATCAAATACTTGTTCTCCCCACTGTATATCCTTCATATCACTTATCAAAAGGAATATGCACAAAGGAAATACAATTTCCAGGAAATCACATCCTGCTAATTCAATGGTACTGTGACTTGTGTGGTGCTGGTCCTTTACCAGTATACAGTATGTCTACTAAATGCAACTGAGTCCATTTGAATCAATGTGTCAGAGGTAAAAAAAAAAAAAGAAGGAAAGAGACTAGCATATTTCAATTTCTAACATTATTTCTATGCAAACGATCGATTGCACTCTTATCTGGCTATTGTACTCTTGAGCTTGCAATCAGTTATCTCATTGGTCACTTATGAGTTAGATCAGACTTGATAAGGTTGTCCGAACAGAAACATGCATTTTTCATGTATCATTATTGCCCATTATTATGGTCATAATTATGCTATACTTCAGGTTTTAATAACCAATATCTTTGCATACAATATTTACACTGTATCACATGCACATCACATAGTGTTGAGTGTTGTGCCCTGAAAGTTCAATTCCCAACAATTGCATGTGAAAAGGCCTACATTAACAACTCCAAAAATATGTTCCCTCACAGGAAAAATTAAGTTATTCTATTCTATTCTATTCTATGCATGGTCTTTCTGGCTGTTTGTCCCAATTAGAACAGAGTAGAGTAGGATCTTCGTTGACTGTGTGGTCAAGGCAACTCAGCCTGTTGTGTCCCCCACAGAAGGGGAGTAGTGATTACCAAGAGAGGAGAGAGAGAGCGACAGAGAGAGTTATATCGGGATAACACTAGTGAGACAGTCAAGATCTTCAGCACACTTCCTTCTGTAGGCAACTCCCTTGGACTTTCTACAGGCAATCTGTCGTTGGTAGTGTATGGGCAGGCAAACAGGCAGGCAGGCAAACAAAAAGGCAGACAGACAGGCAATTTAGAACACCCTGTGTGCCTGTGACGTGGCTGCCTGGCAGAACATTGCCCCTTGCCCACACCAGAGCGTAAGAGCCTGCGTTCTCCCCCTGTCTCTCTGACAACACATCACACCATACCAGGCAGCGTGAAACATGTGACCCATACC